AAACCTTGCCACACAAACCCAACACAAACATGTAGCTTAATACCTTTACACTATGCTTTTGATTTCCCATGTTGTCTAACCTTCCCAATTAGTTTTGTAGATAAATGAGACCTGAATTTTGTTTTTAAGTTTACCCCAAACTCTTGCACATTTTCCTCTTGCCATCCCTTGTAAGATGTATTCCAGTACTTCTTGCATCATCAACCCGTAACTTCATCTATTAGACTAAATGCAGCTTAAATTCTACAGACGCTACTTAAAAATGTTGGTTTGTACTTTTGTACAGCACAGAATTCCTTAATATAGATAATACTAAATATCAAAGTGCACTAAACAAAGGAGACTATAAATGTTCCAAGAAACAATTATCCTATTTCTCACGTCAAACAACAGGTTTTTTGTTTTCTCAGCTCTCATGGAATGTCTGCTTCCCCTACAAAGCAACACTAGAAATTAGATGCAGAGTGCCATAAAATGTTTAAAGATAAACACAGAAATCAGAGAAGATGCATATGTTTACACAGTTCCAGTTAAATATGACTCTTATGCCTCTTTAATAAGAACAGAGGTGGATGCACAATGTATATGTTATTGAAATTCATGCTAATAAACAAACCCTTAGCTTACCCGCCTATCAATATCTGTGGCTTACTTGAATCACTTGTGACACCAAAGACGTCAGGTATCAAGTCTCCATTAAAGCTGAAAATGCAAAATAATTTTAGTATCACCTTAGTCATTATAGGCATAAAAATTAACTATTCTTAAGTTAATCTGTGTTTGGTTACCTTTTTCCCATTGAGCAATGAACCATTTTCAGCTGTGTAGTCTCTAACTTTTGGCTCTTGTCCAAGTAGGTAGTAGTACGCTTCTTTCAATATTTTACACTATGCCATGCATTTAATTTTCCAGCTATATTTCCCCCCTCTCTTTTGTTCAACATTTTACACAGAGAGAAGTACACCATGAAAGGGATATTTGCTTAGTCTGATAAGCCAGTAAGGTTTTTGTTTTACAAAGTTCACAAAAAAAAAAAAAGAAAGAAAAAAGGCTCTCTTTCTCTATAAAATACTGAAATTTAAAAAAAATAAAAACTTATTTGTTACTATTGCCAGGATATAATATACCTTTTCTAAAGATGACTTACGTTTTGTCATTAGACCAGCTGACGTCACACAAACTATGCTATTCTTATAAAGAGCATGTTTCAAATTTTAGCTTTAAAATATATTTAAGCTGCTCTTAGTCACCATTAGAAATGTTGTTTTCTAAAAAAGTAGGTCATACTTACTCCATTACTAGAGGCTCATCGTGGAAAGTCTTATTTAACATAGTTTTATGGTTAAGATCTGAAAACAGAAAATATTCATTTGATTCAGTTACCAATATGTTATGACATTTACATTTTAAACTTAGACATAATTCTTTTATTAATTTACAACCACCAATTTTATGATTTAAAAAAAATAAAAATCAGCCACCACTGAGCATAAACAACTAAACGGCTTCCTGAAATTATGCAGGAAAGTGGAGTTACAGTTAAAGCGCCGAAGCTGCTTCTCTCTCCACTAAGCTCTTCAACAAATTATTCTAAATAGATCTTAATGAAACCTATTTCTAAGTATGATTGCAATCACATAGACACACAAAATCTGAAATAGTTGGGATGAAGACAATCTAAAAATTTAACGTTTGTACAGAAGAACTCTGTTTAATGTTGTGGCACTGTAAAAACCCAAACATTCTTAATCATATACACTGAGTGTTTGAAATAAAGATTAGAGGTACACTGCTTAAATGGGAAGTGAGGATTTTAAGTCCTAATCAGATTATCAACTCTCAGACTTCACATGTCATCCAAACTCCTTGCCACATCATCCCCATTTCCTTCATCTCTCCACAATGTCTGTCGTCTTTCCAGTTTCCACATTTTATATGACAGTACCCTCCTACAGACTTGTCACCCTTCCATTACCCAAGTAGGCACCACATACCTTCCCAGTAGCCTTGCTACATACCAACCATTGCCTGAATTTTTAACCTCTGACTCTTCTAAGCCTCACAGGCTCATTTGTGCCTCTTCCAATATTTGTTTATTCAGAAACAAGACAGCATAAATTAATCCAAATCCTTCACGTTCTTCCCAATACTAGAGATTCCTCCTCTTCTCTTAATACCTGATCCAGGGCACCTTCCCAGGTTGCTTGTTTCACCTCTGATTAAAGCCAGAAGCAATAGTATCTAAGGCCATCACTTGCCTCAGCTGTAACTATTTTATAACACAGTTGTTTATAATAGTGATTATTCTTCAGTTGTTTTTCTAGAGTTTAGAGTATCTTCTTCTGCTTTTCCATCCTTCTTCAAACCCTAAACTCTTCCCAAAACCCTTTCCAGCAGAGTCAACAGAAAACGGAAGAGACTTCAACAGTTCACATAGTCCATGACTCTACCCTACAATAGAATCAGCTATACCTAGAACACTGCTAAAAGATTCTTGAAAACTTCCAGTGATAGAGACTCTAGAAACCTCTCTCCCAAAGAAGTTGGTTTAACAGAAATAAGAGTGTTCTATTACTTATATTGGTAAGTTTAGGCGTGGTATTTTGAAAGCATATGCACTAAACTTTATACCAAGTGCTCAGTACATTTTAAATTCAAGATAAATCTTTTGAGGTAATCTTTGTGAAGCCAACATGCATAATGGAGAAGCCAGAGAAGCAGATCTTTAGTTAGCAGGTTACTGTCAAACAGTAATACTGTTTTGTTACATCTTTTGCATAATACAAAGCAAGAGTTTTACCTTTGTTCTCTTTCATTCATTAATAAATACAGTTTAACAGCAGGATAGTATATGGGTATGAAGCTGAATAGCTGCTAATCCCTATTTTAGTTTTAAAAACTATTACTATGCTGTACAATGAGTTATAACTTTCTGACAATACTCTGAATTATTAAAAAGCCTAACAATCTTATTAAGAAGCAGTCTCAGCAACTCACCTAATGTTTGGTTGTGCCCCCAGAAAATAAACACTGAAAGTTCATCTCTGCCATGATTTTGTGCCCGGGTGGTCAGGAGGACATCCATTTGTGAATCACCATCATAATCTCCAGGCACTACACTGGTTATGGTAACACTGAGAGCTCTAGAATTATAAAAACGAACATGAAATGCCACATGCAAATAATTGTACTAAAGTCTGCAAGAAAATTGAAAGTACTTGTGTGTTCAAAGGCTTGCCTTTTCATCCCAATTATTATTAGTTGATCCAAAGCGATATTTTCCTTCAACAACCTGGCTTTTTTTAAAGTCCTTATCTATTGCAAAAGTAACTTTAAATCAAGCATTCTGCAGTCTCTCTTCCTCCAAGGAAGGATGACATTTTTAACTCTAAACTTCAGATAATAGGCAACTATCTAGACTTCATTAAATCCCTTCATTTGTTGTAGAACCAGTCCTCAAAAAAACATGTTTCAGAGAGCAGGATCTTTGGGTTGCACTCCAAGGGCAAGACGACAAAGCAACAGAAATAGTTCAAGCAGCAGGAGTTGGACAGACAGCTAAAGCTTTTTGAAGACAGTGTCATCTCCTTCCATCTTCTGCCATGTCTTACTGCTCCTCCCTATGTTTGTTTGTTCCATCTTTTTTTTCTTGGTTACCTACTCAGAGACTTTGCTTTACACACACAAACACCGATCGTCCTGTTAAGAATTAAAAGCAGATAATTTCTAACGCACTAAAGAAATTAGCTCCTTCCAAAATAGGAGGGAATAAACATACAAACATATAGAACAATAAAAGATGAAGCTGAGCTACAAGAGCAATTGAACTTTTAAGGGACATAACACTGTTAGTAAGCATTATTCATAAGCCATAACATATCCTGTAATACTATTGTGGTTAAAACTATACCTACATATGTACATGAACACACAGCTTGTTTTACATTTATTAAAAGTTGATGCTATTTTTAAAAGCCACATTTAAACTTTAGGAAGGAACAGATCTCTGCACAGAAATACCAGAACACCATTCTCCATATCCCTTTCTAAACAGATGATATTGGCTGGATTCCATTACTAACTACAGCAACCAGAAGAATTTCTCTGAAAACATGTCTTGGGACAGAGACTAATACTACCTGCCAAAAAGATGTAACCTATGATATGGATGATAGTTTGCTTTACTAGGAAATAAAGTCCAGAAAAAACAAGTCATCTGCAAAAATATTCCAAGATATGGGTATTTTTAACACTAATTAGAGGACAAAACCCAAAGAACAGAAATTTCATAAAGGGGATTGTGGTGTGGCATGTAAGTCACACCTATTAGTTAACAATATGAATGACAAAACTCATCTCCCCAAATTCCATCATCTGATTTACAAAATCCAAACAAATCAAACCAAAAATGTATCACGAAATTAATTGGGCAACTGGCCAAAGAACTGGAGCTCTAAGGGCAAGTTGAACATAGTCAAACAGGTAAGAGCACAGACAGCTCTAGTCATGTTCCCACTGACTGCTGAGATGCACTTTCAAGAAAAACGGCCACTTCCATTGTTTCACCATTGAATATCTATACTTACTTCATTGGTAACTTCACACGGGGCTTAAAGTAGGGTTCCTTTTGGTCAGCCAAAAAGATAATCAGCTCATTTCCTGCAAAAACAAGTTAGATCATGTATAATAGAGGAGGATTGTAAATGTTTTATACAAAAAAAAAAAGGCATTTAAAAAGCTATGCCAGAAATAGTCATTCCCCACATTAGCAAAAACTTTGTAAGACTTCCCATAAAACTACTTCCTCCTCATTCCAAAGGGAGCCAAAGGAGCACTTCTCCAACACCTATATATCGTTTAAAAGAAAACTTCCTGTAATGAGTTAAGAAACATTACATGTGGAAAAGTGGTAGGCATCAGTTCCATACAACTAATTAAAGCTTAAAAGCTAACTCTAATTAATTCTTTTAATACCATCTCTGACCTAGCAGGATCTGATACCGCTTTCCCAAGTTGAGAGACAAAAATACTTTAAATGAAACTCATTGAAGTAACCTGGTTACCCACAGCATTTCTTTATTTAGAGGCAATGATACAAGCCACTATCATTTAATTACTTCAGGAAGACCTAAATAGAAGCCCTTATTTTATGTTGCAAAAATAATAGAAATTTGGGGAAGAAAAAAAATTTTAACCCGAATGATGAAATGTATTTTCAGTCAGTAAACCACAACACATACTCACTCACTTCTACAAGTAAATTAACAGTTCACAGCTAGAGAAAAAAAAGATTACTTATCCTTTCTTATGTTTGTTTTCTGCATTCTCCAAGAAACTCACCTATAGCATCCCAAACTGCAAGAACTAGGTTACCTAATCAAAAACAATTCTACAGCTCCAGACCCAAGCTACCATAGTGTATTTCAAGAGCATCATTCTGTGGCAAATTTCACAGCTGTGAAATAGCTGAATACAAGCTTCCTGGCTATGAAAAAAAAGATAATCGCCGTAAACATGTTTGCCAAGGAGAATATGCCAGCAAATGAGTAAATGAAAACAAACCCTTTGAAAATGGATAGGGGCAACTAGTGCAGTCCCATCTGGCAAGCTAATAAAGCCTGGGTTGCACTACACATTCACAGATGATTGAAAAAATTGGCACACAGTAAGGTGAAGAAGCCTGCTGGCTGCTTAAGCTTTTGATAATAAAGCTGTGGGTTGAGTGCTAAAACTTGCAATTCTGATTTCACACTATAGACTTTCACCTGCCTTTTTATAATCTATGTGGTAAAGTAACGATGATGAAGCAAATGTGTTTTTACAAGTCAATTATACCACTCAGAAATGAGATTTTATGGTCACTAAAGATAGATTCATGAAATTTCAGCTCAGTGCTCATCAATAGTCAAAACAAACTGATGCCTGGAAATTTAGATGAACAGAAAACAAAAATCACTATGCCACTACACCAATCCACAATGCACAGGTCCTAGATGCTGTTTGCAGTTCTTGTCCTCTCATCTCAAAAAGAATACAGAAGAAAGGCAAAAAGTACATAGGAGGGTGAAAAAAAGGAACAGTTTCCATGCAAACAACAATTACATAGATCAGAAGTCTTCAATCTGAACACCTAAGTGAGGATACCACAGAAGTTCTCAGAGATTTCCCAGTGAAATGTAGAAGGTGGATAGGGGAACGATTACTCACTGCCCTGTACCACTAGAAGAAGCATCAAACACAACTAGAAGGTGGTAGGTTCAACAGGCAAACAGCATGAGCTTCCCCACTTATCCCTGCTTTGCGCAGACACTTACAAAACAGGTAAGTGTACACACAATCCTATTTATTCCTATATTGCAGTGTCAGAAGTTGACTAAACCCAGCATCCACTGGTAATTTTGAATTGTTCTTGCAACAAGACACTTTTGGATCTAAGTTACCTCTTACGTGTAGCTGCTTTGCTCTCTCTTACAACGCTCTGAATACAAACTGATTTTTTTTTTCCATGTATCTAAGCATATGAAACATAACTCTCATTCAAATAAGTAAAGATCAGAACAGTAATATAAATCCAGCAAAAGGCCCAAGGCACCATCCCAAATTCCTTATTAAGGGTCAGGATTATTAAGAGTGGCCTGCTTTACCAGGTCACTGTTCCTCAAACTCTAGTATTATCTCCAATGCTCACTTCTTCAGCACTATTTGGAATTGGCTACCATTTATTCTACTACTTAGAATTCTACTATTTTGCATTTGCTATTACTTTTTGTTTAGAGGGTGTGCTATAAATTTTTCAAGCTACTTTTTATCTAGACTTAAATTATGAAAAATAAGATTTTTGAGTATGTTATTTCTGGCTGATTTTTACAGAGAGTAACAAGTAGGGTAGCAACTATAGCAAGTAGTGCTGCGCAGAAGCGAAGCAGCAGCCATAAGTATAATTTCTGAAACTTTTAACTATTTGCATTTTTATATGCATTCACCTAAAAGATAAGAAAGCAAAAAATTAAATCTCTTATCACTGACATTCATTTAAAATCTAATCTTTGAGGGTATTGTTTCAGTAGATGAGCTAGTGGAGCATTTTCAAGAAGCTATGCATTTAAACATCTCAACTAGATGGGAAATTCACTCATGCTTTACCAAAGCTACTTATAGAAACATTGCTGAGATTGAAGGAATAAAAAAGGTGAATTTGAGAATAAATTTATTATCTTAATGCATGGCTTTAAATCAGTAAAATAATCCAAGATTAACATCTGCAGATAACACCGACCGCTGATAATAAGCTCTGATTTGGGGTCTGCCATATTGGAAGCCCAAACAGAAACTCATGGCAGACGACAGCTGCATGGAATAAATTTATCTAGCCTTCCACTTTAACATAGCGTTCAAGGTAGGATAACGCACAATTTATCCTCTTTACGACTGTGAAATGTTCATCTCAGTTTCCCAAAATACTGTGAAAGCAGGAAGTGAAAAAACAATTTGCGACCATTCACTCTGTAGGACAAAGTCGTTAGATTATTTCACAACCATAAATTCAACTTTAATGAAAAATACTTCTTGCCCTGTACGAAGTCACATATTAGTGCAAGTTGCAAATACCATTTTCAATACAGGAAATATCTCAGGAGCAAAACAAACGTCCATTTTAGTCTTGAAAATAATTTTACTGTTCGCTATGTTTGCCCTCAGCAATACTACAGACAGACCCCAACAGGGAACACCGTGTTCATAAGCCGCGGTGAGGAACAAGCAGGTGGTAATTCACAGAACCAGAGGCCAGCTCCAGTTGGGAACAAGCAGGTGGTAATTCACAGAACCAG